TCTCCTTTTCCCATTCAACTCTATGTGAACCCTAGCCATCCTCTCCTTTTCCCATTCAACTCTATGTGAAGCCTAGCCATCCACCCCTTTTCCCAGTCAACTCTATGTGAAGCCTCGCCATCCACTCTTTTCCTGTTCTGAACACAATCACCAGACCTCTTTCCTCACCTCCTCCTGACCCAAGTTCACACCTCCCAGACTTGCCTGCCCCAAGAGCCCATGTCACCTTGTCGCTTTAGCTGTCTCAGCAATGCTTCATCTCTGAAATCACCTCTCAGCCCATACCTTTCATCTCCACCCCCGCCTCACCATGCTTAATCTCAGTTTAGTTGGATTGGCAAGTGCCTCTGGCATCTGGGAGCTCACCTTTGGATATATCTATGAAGATGTTTCCAGAGAGGATGGCCAGGAGGGAGGTGTCCTGGATGAGATCTGGACAAATAGAAAAAAAAAGAGAGTCAGACGAGTACCAATGTTTGTCTCTCTGCTGTCCCGTGCACTGACTAGATGTCTTCCAGCCCCTGCCAGACCTCTCCGCCATGATGAACTGTACCCCTTCTTAAGCTATGAGCTAAAAGGAATCCTTCCTCTAGCACATGGCTTCTGTCTGGTATTTTCTCACAGCATGGAGTGCCACCTAATAAGAAGAAACAATTATTCTCTAGACTGGCTACCCCTCAGAAGCATACTTCAAGGCAAGTAGTTGTTCGGGAGGTGGTCTTGGGAAGCAATGTTAAAATTGGAGTGGAGCAGACAAGATGAAAGAGAAAATAACCTAAGGAAGTTGCGTGATCCTGCGCATGCTGTAGACCTCTGTGGTCTACTACAGTGCAGCTCTGCTGAGGCCCCCTGAGCCACGGATTCAGATGTCAGAGAGAACCCACGGAAACAGATGACTTAGGCTGGACAGCATCAGCAGTACTGCCTTTGGGACCCTGGGGTTTTAACACTGCTAGCTGCCTTCCAGCAAACTCAGGAGTCCTGTGCAAACCCGCAGAGGTCACCTTCACGGTCTGTTTACAGCACCTGTCAGTCAGTGAGTCGCTGGAGTCCACCCTGAGCAGCCAAGCTTGGAGACACAGCTCAGGTTCTTGACACACAGCAACAAAAACCAAGAAATTTGTAGTTTATTAATATAAGGGCTATAATGACTGAAGATTAATGCCCAGGGCTGGATGAGAAATAAAGAGCCCTTAGGGGAAGTGAGGAGGAGCTTGAGGCTAGATCAGCCTATTTTAGGAATAGGACCGAAGAGTTCTCCAGGCACACGGGCTGGATACTGAGAGATCACTGACACAGTAAACAGCCTAGGTTTAGGGGAAATGATGTGGGACACCATGGAACTTAGGGATTTTTCTTAGGACAAAAGGAAGTTCCTAAACCAGGCATTGGTGGTACACGCCTTTAATCCTAGCACTCGGGAGGCAGAGTCAGGTGGATCTCTGTGAGTTCAAAACCGGTCTGGTCTACAGAGCAAGATCCAGGACAGCCAAGCTGTTACATAGTGAAACCTTGTCTGGAAACAACCCGCCCCTGCTCCCCCAAAAAAGAAAGTTCCTGAAGATTTTTACAAATTGGTAATTTTAATGTAAATAAATGATGGCATAAATGTTCCCTCTGGGCTCTGGTAACTAAAAATCCTAATCATTCAGAAAGGACCAAGGAGACGCCATGACAGGCTGCTCAGTCTTCTCTTAGAGATCAGGCCTCAATTTCAGTTTCCTGAGACTTGAGCAGCAGTTTCTGGGAGGGCCATGAACAAAAGGCATAGTCCTGGCAGCAGCTCCCTTTCTGCACATGCTCTGACTGCTCAAGGTTCAGTCAGTTGTTTATTGTCTGGGACCCCCACCAACTTAGAGCATGAGTCAAGGACAGAGCCTGGGCCAGTGAGCAGCCCCCACAGTCAGTACGTGCTAGGCCAGCCAGCCTCCATGGCAGCTCAAGGACAAAGCCTGGGACTTGTCCAGGCCTGCCCAAAAATGGTAACTGTGACCCTCAATTAAAAATTACTAACATGATTGCCACTGGCATAAACCAATCCTGATTCTGTTCCTATGAAGTCTGTAGACCCCAAGCTCCCTTTGCTTTAAAAACCCTGCCTCATTGCTACTCCGGGTCTCTCCTACTTTGCTGCTGCTCAGAAGGACAGAGAAGCCCTAACTCATAACAATACAAAGACTCTTTGCTTTTGCATCGGATTTGGTCTCTTGGTGGTCTTTGAGGGACTGAGTACAACAATTCCTCCTGTGCCTAGTTTTCATCTTGACTTAATTCTTACCCTGCTTTCCCACTGGTCTTCCAGTCTTCAAATACATATTAAGGACATGCCCAAGCCATGGCTTAGTAGATAAAGCTAACTGAACCTTTCTAAAGAACAGGTCATGAGTCTCTAAAACTAGACAGGGTCACATCTGTCCTCAACAGAAAGGCTTTAAGCCACCAAACACCTTTTATCAAAATCTTTGCGTTTCAAAGCAAGTTTAATCTTGTTTATCTCAAGGAGTGTTAGGGAATGATTTGGGGATGTCACTATGCTTGGAGATAAAACCTTTAAAGAGAAGATGGTGTTGAAATAATGTTGTAGGAGTGGGTGCTGATCCGATCTGACTGGCTTCCTTGGAAGAACGGGGGTTTAGTTACAGCAGAAGGATGACAGAGATGTGTCTGCACAGAGAGTGGGCCGTGTGAAGACAGTGACTTAGATGACCATCCGCAAGCCTTGGAGAGACGTCAGGAGAAACTAACCTGCCAACACTGTGATTGTGGATTTACAGATTTTCTGTGGTTTAAGCCACCTGACCTTGTCACAGAATCCTGGTAAACTAATGGAAAAATGAAAGGAAAAAAAAAAGAAAAACCTCAATGATTTTCTGTTATACCTCACATCCCTCAACTCTCCTTTTACTAGAAAAGGCACACTAAGAGCTTATGACCTTCCAGAAAACAGTCAATAGAAAAACAAAAACATGAGAGGTTAGAAATTCCGTTCAATGGTAGAACTCTTGGCAGCAAATGCAAGGCCCTGGCTTCCTTCCCCAGCACAGCAGGGCAAAGAAACAAAAGAAATGAACCCACCAGCCTCAGATCCACAGATACCGGAGCACAACGGCGTCGATAAAACAGATGGGCTTCGCCTGTGCCGTCATAGCATCTGAAGGAAACGGGGGTCGTGCAAAAAACCAAACAAACAAACTGCCATGCCTGCACTTTTATGCTCTGTCCCTGACCTGCCAAGATTCACCACATAGCAAGTCATGTGTGCCCATTTTTGGGGTCCAGAAAATGTCACCATTGCTAGCTCTCTCCCTCCCAAAGAAAACGATGAAAAGGAACACCTGTCCATCTTGCAGCTTCAAAATGTATCTCACATTTTTAGTCCCAGTCAATGCTTGACAAATGGCTGTACAGAAAGAGAAAGAGCCTGGGGGTGCTGCTCAGTGAGGGAATGCTCGTCTAAGAACACAGGCCCTGAGTTCATTCCTCAGCGCTGGGGAGAGCAGGGGAGGGGAAGGGAGAGGAGGGGAGATGAGAGGGGAGGCGAGAAAATGAGAGGAGTGAAGAGGATAGGAGGGAAGGAGAAGGGAGGGGAAGGGAGGGGAGAGGAGAGGAGGAGAGGGCAGGTGAGGGAGAACCAAATAAGTGGTGATGCTATCAAAGTGACCGATCAAATCAGTACCCCAGTCTTCTCCTCGCCACAGACCACTAGATGAAAAACGTAAAAAAAAGAAATTCAGGGCTCAGCAGTTAAGAGCACGGGCTGTCCTCCCAGAGGACCGGGGTTCAATTCCCAGCACCCACATGGCAGCTCACAATGGTCTGTAGCTCCAGTTCCGGAAGCTCCGACACCCTTGCACAGACATACATGCAGGCAAAACACCAATGCACGTACAGTAGATAAATCTTTTTTAAAACTTCAAAACAACACGGTAAAAAGAAGGCTCATAGGCATCACAAGCAGGGGCTGGAGCCATGGCTCAGCTCTCAAGAGCACCCTGCTCTTCTACCGAAGACCTGAGTTCGGTCCCTGGCACCCACATCGGGCAGGGCCTGATACCCTCTGCTGGCCTCCAAGAACACCTGCACTCATACCCACATACAGACACATGAAAAATCATAAATCAATTTTTTTAGTCTTTTAAAGAATTATCAGAAAAAATTAAAAGACAAACAAAATTTCTCAGCCTCAAATGCCTTCAAGGGCTGCAGTGGTAATGTGGGAGCTGCTGTAGACAGTCTGAGGCAGCGGACATGAGAAGGAGGGGTGTCCTGGACTATTGTCAAAACAGGACTTTCGAGAAAAATCAAGCAAAACCCACTGTTAAGAAAGGAACAGGGCCTGCAAGAGGGCTCAATGAATAATGACGCTGTGGGCCACCAAAGCCCGACAACCTGAGCCTGGGCCCCAGAAACATACGGTAGGAGAACACCGATCCGATCCATCCAAGTGTGTGCACACACGAATTAATAAGTGTAAGAAAACAACAGTGTGAGAACTCCACTGATCACTTGCCGGAGGGCATGACCAAAGCAATCCACCGAGAACGAAGTGGCCTTTAAACGTTCCAGAAAGGAAATTACTGACAGTGGTGAGATAATCTTTTAATTCAACAAGTTAATAAAAGACAAACACTAATGAAATCAGAATGGGAGGGTAAAATGCAGAGATTAAAATCTGAATGAAATAGCTAGTTATAGAGACACGGACCTGTCATCCCAAATCACGGAAGACTGAGACAGAATTGTGAGTTTCAGGCCTGCCTGGGCTACATGGTGATCCCCTGCCCCACTCCAACTCTGTCCCCAAAAAAGGAGAAGGAGGAAGAGGAGGGAGAGAAGGAGGCAGCAGCATCTGCCATTTTTAAATGCCTGGTTGCTTCTTGCAGACATGGCTGACCCTAGGTCTGGAAACAGGAAAATTCTAAAGTGAGCTTGGGCTGCCTTGTAGTGCCAGAGTATTAAAGACCACTGAAATAAATAAATAAAAGCAAACAGATCAATAAAGCAAAGAAAGACATGTTTAAAAACCAAACGGGTGGAGATGTGGTGAAGGGCACAGGGGACCAGCTGGAAGAGCTGTAGATGGTCAAAACTAGCCACCTGGGCAAGAGAGGCAAGGTGGGCAGGCTGGCTCTTAACTAAAGAACATGCGCATGCGTGTGTTCTTGACTCCACTAGTAACAGTGAGACTCTGTTTAGAAAACTAAAAAGGCATGGTGGTGCACACCTCTAATCCCAGCACTTAGGAAGATCTTGAGCTCAAGGCTGCCTCCCACTATATAGCAAATACTGGGCCAGCCTTCACTACCTGAGACCCTGTCTCAGCAGGTGGGTGGGTGGGCAGAATGATAGAGAAGAGACAAGTCTTTACAAAAGAATGCTCCATGCAATTGCTTTTTTTGTAAGGAACATGGGCTGGGCTTATTCCTTAGAAAATGGTATCTATCTCCAAATAGCATTTGGAGAGAAAACAATGAAGTAGCTTTGCACTGGAGAAATGTGGCCAACACTTCCAAGTGATTACACTGACATCATGTACCCCCTGACATAATAAGAGGGCATTTCCACTCCAACGTCTCCCCCTACTCCTGAAGAGCTCAAAGAAACTCCGACTGAGGGATGTTCTTAACACCAAAACTCTTCTACGCTGTGAACAGATGAGTGAGAAATGAGCCTAAGAGAATGTCTCAGAGAGGAGGAAATAAGGAGATATGAGGATTAAACACAGTGTGGCATCGTGGACTGAATCCTAGGTACGATGACTGAGTCTTAGGCGTGATGAGGACATTATGGGGTGGGGGGATCTGTAAAATGGAAACAAAATTCATAGCTAGCTGCAGCACCCACGTCAACTCCTAGCTTTGGCTTGTTTTTAAGATACCAACTATAGGCGGTGAGGTGGATGCAGAAGCCCTTTGTATTGCCTTGGCTAGCTTTCTGTAAATCTATTACCATTCCAAAATAAACAGAGTTGCTTTTTTTTTTTTCCTGACCAATTACATATACCTCAGAAAACTTTCAAAGGCAATTTTTTGAACATTGAACGTAGAATCATTCGGCAATGATTATTAAAGTTGTGAAAAGTCAGTTCTACTACAAAACTTTCACAATTTTAAATGAGATGTGCAGAAGAGCCATCTGGTGCTCCTGTTAGAAATGGGTCTGGGGGGGGGGGGGTTCCGAGAAAATGACCACACAAGCCAAAGTATTTTAGCAAGACAAAAGGCCTCGCTTCTGCTGTAGAGTGCATAGGAAGGGCCCTGTGCCTCCCTGACTGGTCAGCACCAGGCCCCACACACTTACTACAGAAGGGCGCAGTAAACAAAGCACAGCTTCCCCAAACAAGGTGCAGCCACGAGTGTGCATCGATTTTGAGACGTGCTGGCTCTGGAGGAATCTGAATTTCTGCCAAGTGGCTTCTTTACAATTCTTTTTAATGGAGCTCTGTCTTGTTTAACCCTTTACACTGCCTACACTTGTTTGCAAGTTGGAGTATTGCTAAATTTTCTGACATAATATGCTACACTTTCATAGTGGGACCCATAGCAACTTCTGAGACATCAGGATTCCCAGGAGAATCCAAGAGACTCTTCCAGGCCCATGTGGGGCCCTACTGTGCTCTAGCCCTGTGGTCCTCCCTCTAGTGGGAGCAAAGTCCGGGGCTCTGTGAAGGAAGCCGCTCAGCCCACTCGTGTCTCTAGAGTAGCTAACTAGTACCACAGCAAAGAATCAAGATTCAGTCTTTTACATCCAGGTACAAATGAAACGAGATTATCCAGTCCTCCAAGAAAAATGAGTGCGGGCCTTAAGATGTTCCCTCTCCATGGCCTCACACTTCCGGTGATGCCCAGGGCAGTTACTGATGGCTGGGGTCCCTTAAAGCCAACTCGCACCCTTCAGCACAGGAGCTAAGAAGAAATTTGTGGGTCCTGGAAGCCTCTGATTTCCCTAAACTCTACAACTCTCCATTCCCAAGGGAGACTCCTGGAAGAATATGGTATGCCTACCTGGGGCCGGTGGACTCAGGCACTCAGATTCCTGGAGAACTGTCTGGGGCTGTGACAGTCGCAAAGCTATGCTTACCACAAGAAGCCTGCTATATAGCGTTCCATCCCATCCTCTCGGGCTTCTCAGCCACCGCCCTTAAGCCCACCCTGCCCATTTTCCATCACACTCCTAAACCCTTTTGATGATTCATGACACATGTCAGCAATGCTGTTGCATCCTTCAGCTACCTGTAGTATCTCTGAGTAAGCCCATCGGGCACACTCCACCTATCACCCCAGCTGGGTTCCTAGTAACCAAAGGCCCTGAGGAAGACTGCTTTATTCCTAGAAATGACAATTGCAGTAAGAGAGAGGACCCAGAGAAGTGAGTTAGGTTATATGTCGGTGTACATCTATTAAATAAATATACATATCCATATAATAATACATTTACATATAAATATTTATTCTGATATACATAAATGTATATCACACAGAAAAGGGGAGATGGATATACAAGCGCCTCCTGTGGCCAAGAGAGCCTGAAGGAAGGAAGCTGTCACAGAATGAAATCCTGGAAAGCTGCAGCCAATGAGAAATATTTCAGCAGATTTGTATCAAATTCACCCCATTCTAGAATTTTTTTTTTTTTTTATCAGATTCACTCCATTCTAACTCAACAGCTTGACTCCTCTGGGGGAATGTTTGTCCTGGAGCCTGAGATGGTTCTGCCAGTGGCGTATCCCTCCTTCTGACATCTGTAAACATCGCTCATTCTCTGCAGGCTCCCCAAGACCCGGGCATTGTTGCGCAACACTTAGGTGCTCAGAAACATTTACAAATTGAAAGGCTGTCACTTCCCAGGAGGGTTTCCGTGAGTTTTAGACATGTGTTTATCTCTTCTCTGAAAGTGGTGTCATCCCTGCATCCACCATCCACCAAGTCTATTGTGAAACATTTCAAATCCGCAGAACAGAGATGGGTGGTAAAGCTGCCAGTCACGTTTGACAAGTGCTGAGATTTCTTCCTGTTTTCTCCAACTTCTATTAAAAAAAAGAAAGGCATTAAAATTTGAACAGAAGTTCTTTTGCACCTCTTCCAGACCCCATTCCCTTCTCCTTTCTTTCCCAAGAGGCTCCATCATCCTGAAGTTACCTCCATCCTTCTGCATGTGCTAATACAGAGAAATAAGGGCATTTCTCTCGCTGTTGCACTTTACTACGCGTGGTGTTATCACAGGAAACATACGATTATCACAGGAAACATACGAAAATCACAGGAAACATACGAAACTTCCTAGTTCTCTGCAACCTTAGGACTTGGGTATTGAACTCAGACTCGTGGCTCCTCTGGTTTATTCATAAATATTGTACAGACATAAAATTAGCTTATTCTTCTTCCTGTTGATGGACAATTACAGTATTTGAATTTTGATCAATTATTAAAAGAAAAAAAAAAGCTGCCACGATCATCCTGTGAACTTCTCCTTGCCCCAGACATGAGCTTCTCCCCAGAGACAATCCGAGGCAGTGGGGAGTCAAGTCAAGCAAGAACTCCTTTATTGATAGGCAGTAAGCCTCTTTTATACCAGAAAAGCTCAGACCCCTAGGAGGGGGTGAAGGAACCAACCAATCATTTTAAAGGTCACCCTATTTACAAGTTGTTTATGTCCTGACATCATCTCCTGTTTTTTATTATCTTATCTTAGTGTAAATAACTTGAGCTAACTTCCTTTCTTACCATTAGTCTTTAATCTCCATACAAACAACCCAAGCTAACTTCCTCTTAGCCATCCTTTGTATCTATTTTTTTTTTTTTGCACGAACAACTTAAACTAACTTCCTCTGGTACCATTAGCATCCACTCTCTGTGTAAACAGCTTAAAGCTTAAGCTCTGTTTATCTAAATTTCTCTCAGCACCCGCTTTGTGGCCCATGTATGCCCCACATTTTTTAAAAAATGGTCATTTGTTTTTCTCCTGTACCTCTCCATTCCCCTTTCTCTGTCTACAGAAAATCTCCTCTAAGAGCCTTTGCACGCTCTCTTCATCTGCTCTCACCCCACTCTTTCTTGAGCCTACTTCTGAAAGGCTTTTGTCTCCACCACTCCCCTGAAACCGTTGTCAAGGTCGTGGGTAATCCCCACTCTGAATCCACTGGCTGAAGCTTACGCTGCTTCTCATCAAGCCTTCAGCAGACTGTGATGGAGCCGCTCTCTTATTCTTGGGACATCTTCTTGGTGTCTTCAATTCTCCAAGAATACTCCTTCTCCTCTTTCACTGGCTCCTCTCTTAGCTTCCCAAGTCTCAGAGGCTTTTGCCTTTGCAAATGTTAACTCACTGGGCAATGTCACTTAGCCTAACCATTCCCAAAATGGTATGGTAGAATTTACCGTCATGCCTGAACTTCACACTCATGACCTCATGACCTCATGACCTATTTAAAGCCAATCCCTTACTTTCTTCCATGATGATATGAATTCACAACACACCCCCGCAGTTGGGCATGGCCGAGTATGCCTGGTGGGACCTAGTCACTTCCGGGTCAAAAACGTTTTGTGTGACCAGTATCCCATGGCTTTGTGTGGTTGCATAAAGTGCGCAGCGCAACCATGTGATCTACGCTCATGCATGGAATAGCCACATTGGCCTGTGTGCGCAGGCGCGGCCCAGCCTTTAGAAGCCATTGCCATGATTCCCGGCTCCACTTCACTCACGTGTCTTTCCACAGGCTTGAGCACATCTGTCCCTCTCCCTTATCTTAACAAAACTCTTGTTAGTGGATTCTGTTGTGTTTTGTGACGTTTCCTCGCAGGGTAAGAGGGCCACAAAAAAACAACACATGAGCCTGCTCCCCCCACCCCATCCCGTGCACAGAGTTGTCCTCTTGTGGAAGGCACCGTCATTAAGCAAGTTGCCTAAGCCTTGGAGTCTCCATGCTCTGACCTCTTCTCTTCTCTCACAACCAGTGCCAGCAACCGATACGTTCTCTCCCTTCCATGTGTGACAGACTCCATCTGCTTCCAACTACCTCCACCGCTACCACCCAGGGACAGGTCACCGTTCCTCTCCTGGGCCATTGAAATAGCCTGCAGGATTCCCGCTGCCTGCCTGCACCTCTGATTTGTCTTCCACACAGTAGCAGAGAATGCTTGTGACTGTTGCGTACTGCTCCTCTTTATGACGAATCTTACTGTAGTTCCCCAGGCTCCTCAGCTGCCCTACCACGGCTTTCCAGGCCCTGTATATCTAACCCCACAGGTCTCCTTTTGTCTAGTCCTCAATTCTGCTTCCACCTGGCTCCAGCCACACTTCAAAAAGCCAGAACACTCCTGTCTCAGAGCCAGCGGCAAGCTGGTTCCACCACCCCAATCCCTTACTGGGATAGCCTACTCTAACCACCCTGCATAAATGGCAACTTCCCCTGCTTCCTTTTTCTGCATGACATTTATCGTCATCTAGCATACGATACACAATTTCCTGTCTTGTGAACACAAATCATCTAAAGGGCAGGACCTTTGTTTCATTCATTGCCATGTGCTCAGCACAAGGCTTAGCACGTGATGGCAGCTCAGCGACTAGTTGTTGAATGAATAAACTGATTCTTTTTTCCTGAAAGTGAAAGTATTGTGTTTATTATACTTAGTTTTTTTGGAGACTAGGTCACATGATGTAGCCTTGGTTGTCCTGAAACTCACTGTTATAGACTAAGTGGAGTCTGACAACCTCTGACTCCCAAGTGCTGAGATTAAAGGCTTGTACCACTATACCCAGCCATACTTAATTTTTAATTCAGTTTCAATTTATTGTTGCACATGGCTAAAGTAGGAGTCTAAAGGGCTGGGACACTGTTCCGTGGTAGAGCACCTGCCATACGTTAAGTTCCCAGCACCACAATAATAACAAAAAAATTAAAGTAGGGATCTAATTAATCCTTATGTTGAAAACTGGTGACACCATTGCTACTTATTGACTAGACCCCCTTTTCCCAATGGTTTGTAATAGTGTTCTGTCACTTCTAACATTTTCACCTATGGAAGGGCCTATTTCTAGGTTCTCTAATCCAAGCTGCTGGCCTATATTTCTATCCTCTGTCCCAACAATTTGGTATTTTATTTTCTTTAGCAAAACTGTTTTTGCTGTTCTGAAAGTTCTCTCAATTTTCCATACGCATTCCACTCAAACAACAACTATTAGGCTCAGCCTAATGGCACAGTCCTATAATCCTGGTCCTCACAGGGCTGAGGCAAGTTTAAAGCTAACGTAAGCTATATAACAAGACCCTGTTTCAAAAATAAAAAACAGGTGCTGGAGACGTGGCTCAGAGGATTAGAGCACCTTCTACTCTTCCGGGAGGCCAGGGTTCCATTGCCAGCACCCCCATGGTGGCTCACAACAGTCTCTAACTCCAACTCCAGGGAGTTATCGGATATGTTATTCTGGCCTCTGTCTCTGGGGGCAGCAAGTACACACATGATGCACAGGTATATATGCAAGCAAAACACTCATACCCATAAGATACTTTTAACCAGTCAATCTTTTGACATACATTAAAATGGGTACAAAGAAGTATATTCATGCTGCTGAGCTTTGTCAAATATGGAATATCTCTTCACTTATTCAGATCTTCACTTTGCTCTTCAAATATATATTATCTCTCCATAAGAGGATGGAAAAACTGAGCAGGGGGAGACGGCTCAGTAGTTTAAGCGTGCTTGCTGCTCTTCCAGAGGTCCCGGCACCTAACGGCACTGCACTCACATGCATAAACCCACATTCAGACGCACACATACACAGTTAAAACTAAAAATAAAACATTTCAAAGAGCTGTGCTATGTTTACTCATATGCACACACATATAGATCAAGTAGTGCTTTTCTATTTTAATATTTTAACTAGAATTATGTACTATGGTAACATTGTTGATTTTTACATCTTCAGCTGAGTACCTGCCTAATTCTAATTTCCTTTTATAGACTTTAGGCATCAGCAAAATGTTCCTTCTTTATGAGCTCTTATATTTTCACTCTCTTTCTGTCTTAGTGTGTTGATTAGAGGCTCCGTATCGCATCCAGTAGAAGGTCACTTTGTCTTATACCTGACTTCATTAGGAATATGGTGAGGATTTACCGTTAAATGGCACTTACTGTAGATGCTGAATAAGGGGACTACATTGGGTGGGTGAAATTCTCTCTTAATCCCATTTTAGGAGGTTTTAAAATTAGAAATGAAGGGAGCAGGCAAAAGCACCTTGGCCTGAGTACTGCCATGTTGACTTCAGATTCCATTTTACCTGTCAGGTGAAATAAAGTTCAGGTTCCCAAGCCCTAGGGGAGCTGAGAACTTTCCAATGGCTGACCAGTCTCCTCCCTAAGCCACAGAAACAGTCGTTATGTGTCTTTAGTTCTCTAGAAACATCATGGCTGTTCCTAACAACAGAAGGAACAAACGCATCTGATTGGTTGGACTGAAAGGCTTGCACTGTATATTGGTTGACAATGAGGGAACATTCAAGGAAGCCCCTAATCTCTAAATCCTGATTGGTGAAAATTGTAACTGTAATTTGGCAACAAATGTTTGTGAATTTTATGCTTATAAACCCTACTTCTGCCCCTGCTTGGGGCTATCAGGAGAAACAAGGTTCCTGAGTCCCTGTCCTGCAGCCGTGATTGATCAGTAATCTGCTTATGTAGTGAATTATTAAAATCTTTGGAACCCATAAGTGGCACATAATGGGGTAGATGTAACGGAAATAGTGTTAAAAGCCTAGAGGACAATTGCTTCTGCTGGGATGTCATGTGAATCCCTCCTGCGCTCTGTTGGAGAACTGGATTATGATAAATTTTCCATTGGTAAACATCCCTTGTGTTCTTGAGACAGCACCTGCATGACTGTGATTTATTTCGCACAGACACTATGACTTTGGGACTTTGCCTTGTACACTTATCACTGAGATTGACACAATTATTTTTCTTTGGGTTTGAATTAATTGTTTCAAAATGATAGAGGGGTCAGAATCTGCTTTGAATAAACAAAGCCACAAGAGAACATCATTCCAGTCCAAGAAGTTTAAAAACCAAGATAATTTCAAAATCGTAGCTTTTCTGGAATCCTTCAGGGAGCTGAAGCAACCATGTGCAAAAGTCCGGAAGAGCGACGATAAGGCCCTCAGATGAAAGACGAGACACACAACCTAGTTCCCTTTTGTCAGGTCACGGGAACAAGAGGTGAGAGCCGCAAAAGTGGGAAGAGGAAAGCCACGACATCCTTAAAGAATCTGTAAGGGCCGAGACCCCAGCTGTTAGAGCAGCTTGGCGTTTGGCGTTATTTTGTTCAGAAGTGTGTTCCATGCATTATAGTATATTTAGCAGCATTGCTGGTTTGTACCTAGTACGTGCAATAGCACTTTCACTCCCATTTGTGACAACCAAAAATGTCTCCAGATATTGCCAAACATCTCCTGGAAGACAAGCCACCCTTGGTTAAGGACCATGGGTTTTAGAACAAGGAAACCCAGATACAAGAGAGTTCCCCACTCTCAACTTCTTCCCATGGGCCTGCCAGCATCCCACAACCTCTAAACACAGCGCCACTCACTGGGGACCAGGTGTCCTATAGAGGACACTTCAAATCCAAACAATAACAAGATCAAATTATTAAAAATTATAATGTATATGCATTTAGAAACAGAAGTCCAAAAAGATAAGGTAAACATGGGAGAGACCCCCAATTTTAAAAGTAGATAACAAAATAAGACCAACTAATATGTTGTTGATTTTGAATTCAAAGAGGTGCTGGGAGACAGATCCATTGATACAGAGTCTGCCCTATGAGAATGAAGAGTTTGATTCCCAGGACTCTCACGAAGAAACCCAGTATGGCCGCACATGCTTGTAGTCCTGTACTGGAGAGGCAAGGATCCCTGGGACTCCTGGCCAGTCAGTTTAGCCTAATTGGCAAGCTCCGCCCAGTGAGAGATATTGTCTCAAAAACTAAGGTGGACAGTGCCTGAGGAACAGCACCCAAAGCTGACCTTTAGCCTCTGTGCTCTTACACACATACACACACACACACACACACACACACACACACACACACACACACACGAAAGAAATACAAGAAAATAAATAGCTTTAAAATCAAAGTATGGGCAAAGATAAATTTTGTAAACACTAATTAAAAGAAGCCTGGTGGAGCTGTGTCAGTATTGAAGTTGACTTCAAAATAAAGATTATTTGGGAATTAAAAAGGAATATTATATAGTAGGGGAAAAGATCAGTTAATCACATTCCTCACTGGGATGAAATACCTAACAGGGACAGCTTAGGGGAGGAAGGGTTTGCTTTCCCTTTTCTAAAAAGAATTTTAAAGTGCGTCATGGCAGGAAAGGCACACAGAGTCCACGGCTACAGGAGCAAGAGGCCAGATTCCTCGCACCTGGGTGACTCAGGAAGCAGACAGCATAGACCCAGGGATATCAACCTTGAAGTCCCATCCCGGTGATTCATCTCTGCCTGCCAGGGTCCCACAACCTCCAACATCAACACCACTGACCAAGGCCCAAGGGTTCAAACATTCTAGTCTATGGGGAACGGTTCAGATCCAAACAGTAACAAGATCAGATTACCAAAAAATACGATGCATAGGCATCTAAAAACCGAAGTGCAGAAAGATAAGGTTAAAAATTAATGAGTTGGAAAGAGAAATAGAAAACTTTGTGTTTATAACTGAAGATTTCAATACGCCGGTCTCAGTGGCTGACAAAACAAGAAAACAGAAAATCAATAAGGACACAGGAGACCTGAAGAGCACCATCGAGGCACTCAACCTGACTGAGAAGCGGAGGCCACACATTTCAGAAGTCCATCACATTTTCCCTAAGCTCACTTGGTCCCTATGTCACAGTAGATGAGATCCTAAGAGACAAACAAATCACAACCAGCTTTATGATTTTTATTTTATTGTTTTATGCGTATGGATGTTCTGCCTGCATGTATGTCTACCACATGGGTGCAGTACCTGAAGAGGCCAGAAGAGGGTGTTGGATCTCCTGGGACTGAAGTGACAGAGGTTGTGAGCTGTCGTGTATGTACTGAGAACTGAA